GGATCTACGGGGTGTAGTCTTATGTATATTCAATTTTATAATTTTATTACTAAAAAAAAAATTAAAGTAAAACTTTCAATTATTTTACAAATAAATTTTATTAAATAACCTATAATACATATATAAAAAAACATGATTTTTATTTGAGAAAGATACTAATCACCAATAATGAAGAAAAAAAGTATTACCATTACTATATGAGAAATATCATTACACCAATTATAAAAATATTATTTAAAGCAAAAAAATTCAAAAATAATTTAAGAAAAACTCCCAATGCATACGTTTTTAAGCCCAGGCGTACGTTTTTAAGCTTGGAGCTTATACCCCAAATTTTAGGACTTACACCCTATGGATCTAAGCCTTACATTTGCGCCCCGATGCGTTTTTGATGCATCCCGCTCCTAGACTCACCCCAAAAAACATTTTTGAAAACACTGATTTAAAACATTCAGAAACGTCTTGTTTTTGCTAATATAATAGAAACATGTAAAGTTGACTTTTGTTATAAAATAACTAGCTTAACAAACTGAATTAAATAGGAAGAACAATGAGAACAAAACTTAAAGTAGCACTTAAAGTAGATGAGTAAAAGAGAGAATTGTATGAAATGCACTTTCTTTCTCATTTAAGAAAAGCTATTTATAGCCGAATTTGTTGAACAAATTTAGTACCTAGGCCATCAAGGAGTAATGTGATTGGACCAAAAGTAGCCTACCAAAGAGTGAATTCTATTCACATGAATATTCATCCTTTATTTTAAACGCTCCTTTTTAGATGTCCATGTAAAAGAATAGTCCTAGTGAAAGAATAAATATATACATAGTCATTTCTAATACGCATTGCTTGCTGCCTCATTAAAAATCTTACCAGAAAAATTCAGTGGGAAAAAAATTTGGTTAATGAAAAAAGAGTACACCGCGTATTTTACTTCCCCTGATAAGGACCACGATTCAAATGGTTTAGTCTTCACATTCCAATGTTGTCTACCATCTTCTCAAGAGTTGAAGCTGGTAATGATTTGGTGAATAAACCCGCTGGATGATCTCTTGAACAAATTTGTTGTACATCAATATCACCATTCTTTTGGAGATATGTGAAGGATAATTTTGGTGAAATATGTTTAGTTCTATCTCCTTTTATGAAGACTCCTCTTAATTGGACTATGCATGCAACATTGTCTTCAAAGAGGATTGTGGGTACCTTGACATCACACTTCAAACCACATCTTTCCTTGATGAAATGTATTATTGACCTCAACCATCCATATTCTCCACTTGCTTCATGAATAACTACTATCTCAGCATGATTTGAAGAACTAACGACAATGGAGTGCTTCATAGATCTCCATGATATAACAATACCTCCGTATGTGAACAAATAGCTTGTTTGAGATCGAGCTTTATGTGGGTCAGATAAATAACCTGCATCTGCATGACCAATAATATCTGCACTATCTTTGTTAGTATAAAATAAACTAATATTACTGGTCCCCTTTAGATATCACAATATATGTTTAAATTCATTTCAATGTCTTCGTGTAGGGAAAGAACTATACCTTACTAAAAAAATTAACAGAAAATGTTATGTCAGCTCTCATAGCATTAGCAAGATACATAAGTGCACCAATTGCACTAAGATATGGTACTTCAGGTCCAAGAGGTTCCTCATTCTCTTCTTGAGGTCGAAATGGATCTTTACTCACTACAACTATGTAGCTTCCTATTCCCATCGTTATGGATAAGTAAATGGGGAAGAAATTTGGGCCAGAAAAATTCTGAGTAGTAACTTGGAAATTTTCAGCGTAGGCCAGACTTGGACGAAATCTGAGTTAGATAAGGTCTAGGATAATCTGGTAATGGATATGGGATTAGATTATGAATTTAATCATTTGTGTGGATAGCCAAGATGATAATGAGTCTGTATGGTATTACAAAATCAAATTCGGGCGGGTAGAACATTCGTAATTGATCTTAGCGTGAAATAGTGGTTTTAGAATATCAAGGTTTGAGGGTGTGTTGTAAATGGGGACTTGAAACACAAATTTTGAGTCTCTGTCTTCGTGCAAACCGCCACGACAAGATCATTCCTGCTATGGCGGGCCAGTCGCGAGTAAAAATAGAGAAAGTCCCAAAAACGTTATTTTTCTGCAAACTTCGTTCTTGGAAAGCAAAAGGGCGACCTAGGGCTATTTCTTCTTGTTTTTCACTAATTATCCCGCTAAAGGTAAGTCAATTACTCCCCTAATTCTTAAATTGATTCTTAGAACTTAGAATCCTTGCTATTTAACCTTGGGGAGGGTTTTGGCTAATTTAATGGTGGAAAAAGCCCTAGTTGGGTGTTAGAATCATGGAATCATCCAAGGGTTAGTATTTGGATATAATCCGAGTAAACTAGGCCACTATTATTGATCCTTTGCATTAATTACTTGTTTTAGACCAAGAACAAGCTAAGAGACTCTGGAAAGGAAAAGCTCATGTTCCTTAAGAGTGTTTAGGCTTGGTTTCAAGGTACGTAATGATTTGATTTTCCGTCTGTGTTATATATGTCTGCTAACTGCTCCATTGTAATCATGCATGTAGGTGAATAAAGAAAGATGAAATGACTCTAGTGAAATGACTATTTGTGATTCTGTAGCATGCAATGAACCGTTACTTGATTGTACGACTCAAATGTGTAAATCATTCATTGTGGTGTTGATTATGTTGGTGGTTGTGGTTGATTGGATCGAGTGTCATGTTCTGACACATGATTGAATCGGGTGTTACGTTCCAACACATATTGGATCGGGTGTCACGTTCCGACACACTAAAAGTTTGAGTGTGGGTTCCATGGGAGAACCATCATTGACTGTTGCATTTGAGATTTGATATTGTGAAACTGATATATTGAGCATGAACTAGTAAATTGTTATTCTTTCTGTATATGTGTGGTTTAATATGTTGTAGTTACTTGTGTATGTCTCATTTACTGGAATAGTCACACGATTCTACCAGTACACCATTGGTTTGTGTACTGATACTGCACTTTCTCTTTCTTTGTTGAGTACATGACATCTTTAGACGGCTGTTGAGAGACCTCAACTAGGAGATCACTAACTTGTCGAGTTCAAGGGTGAGCCAGTTCCTTCAGGCTACCATGGATTATATTCATCTAGGATCTTAGTCCATTTCCTTCGGGCTTAGACCTTTCAGAATCTTTACTTTATGTTTAGTTATTATGGGGTTGTATCCCCTTATCTTAGACTGTTTAGTTAGAAATTGTGGTACAATGACTTTTAGGTTCTAGGGGTTGAATTTCCATTTGTTTATGTTTGTTTTTGAAAACTTACTGAGTTTATGGGAACTCTGATTTTGAATTAATTATTTAAACCTGTTTCCACATCTTTAAATGCCCGTCTTACGGTTAGTATTGTTTAGTTGGGTTGTAGTAATGATTCTTCCACCAGAGGGTTAGTGTGGGTGCCAATCACAGCGGTTTGGTTCTTTGAGTTTTATGTACATTGGAGTTTGAAGTATCGTTACGTTAATGTGATTTATCTTGGGAGAAAATAATCCTATACCTCCAATACTAACATGGATTGAGTTTCTTAAGAATACACTCTAAATTCAGTGGACTCGAATATAATTATATGTTTCATCTCCATTTCTAGTTTATTTTATTTAAATTTTCATTCCTAAAGCCAACAAAAGAAGGAGATTTTTTTTATATGGAACATGGACAATTGGACATGATTCATTTCTCACAAATAGAGACAAGGACACTAAATGGCAAACAAATTAAATCTTTGTCAGCAAAGTAGTTACAAATAGAAATCCCAATTACACCAGAATCATAAAGACAACAATCTAAACACCACACAAGCAAGGACAACATTTCAATATTACTTTGATGCCGCACCCGTGTTAGATTCTCCAAAAATACATTACTTTTGAAGAATCCAACACACACCCGTTGACATCTTTTATTACCCGAAATGAGCATTTACAATAACCTTGAAAGACCATAGACTTGATCAAAATCTGCATAACCTATGCCTGCATTTGGATCCAGAGAAAAAAAACAAGAATAAGAGGCAGAGATGTAACAAAGGCATTGAAAGGAAACCAATAACTGAGAACATAAATAGTAACCAGAAAAACCAAGAAGGGATTTTCAGACTTGACTCTTGAGTCCTTCATGAATCTATCCTGTCAATGAAATTAAAATAAAGTTTACAAGAAAGGCCTAAAGTTACACAGAAAGAGACTAGAATATTTGTTCCGAAAGACAAAAACTACCAACGAGTAGCTGGTTGATCCATATAGCTGCTTTCTTCATTCGTCGTTGAAAACTTGAAAACTCACTACACAGAATCAAGACACATAAGTTAACTAGTAGTCGTAGTAGTAAATAACACAATGTAAGTTCATACAAGATTTCGATGTAATGGTCCAGCTGATGAATGAGTTCTTGAAAAAGCACATGAGACAAAACTAGTTTTAGGGCTTTTACTAAGGTCTCGAATCCAAGAACCCTAACCTCTCTGCCAAGACATCTACATCTTCCTCTTCACCGTCTTCATTTCCAGACACGTCCTCATCGTTAAATAGCTCTTCCCAAAACCCCTCATCAAGTTCTTTATCTGTGTTGCCAAATTGTTCAAGCCCTTCTATCGTATACTCTTCTTGTTGATCTTTTCTTGCTCTACCAAATCCCTGCATTTCTAATGCAAGTGCTTCAAGTTCAGACACTTGGAATCCGTTAGCCTCTCCGAATTCCAAGGGTTCTGATTTGATGTAATGGCTAGATCCTCCAACATGTAATGTACTACCAGGACCTTGATGATCAATAGGTCGTCGCCTTTTCTTAGTTATATCCTCTTCAATTTCTATTCTCTTCCCTTTTTGATGGATTAACTGCTGGACAAACTCCGGATTTTGCATAGCTCTTGCTAAAAAATTCATCATTTGTTGCTGTTTCCTCTCTGTTCCTTGTAATTTTACCTTCAAAGATCGAAGGTAAGCTCGAGTATTCTGTTGATTCTGTCTAAGCTTCACTAGTTCCATCATCAATACTTGCTTGTCATGCCTCAATCGATCAACTTCTCCATAAAATCCAAATCTTCCCAATTCGACACAAGGACCGAGACCTTGCTCTGTAGGAGAATTAGGCGTTTTTCGCCTCTTGATGTTCCTTAGAAGATGTTTGCTCCCCTTTAGAAATGCCTCGTTTGCGAATTCCCATCTCTCTGGATCAATCTTTCTAAATCCCTGCAACAATCAAATCCCATCTACAGCTTAGTATCATCATCTTCCAAATTTTTCCAAGATCCATCTTAGCAAACAATTCTTGAGACTAGTGCATTTTTTTTTTTTTTTTGGTCCGCTGCACGATGAATATTTTAATATGTTACACCAACCACCAGAACTTGAAGGATTCATCAGAGGAACATCACCACATCTTAATTCGTCTGAAATTAATAAATAAAAAAAAAAACACAATTCTGAAAAGTTAAGTTGCATCCATTTATCATTTCATTAATACTCCAAATGGGATTTTATTTATTTTTGAGATTCTCCTTCCTACTAATAGCCTTGTTCACTTGTGTGTTCACAAAGATTTAGCAATCAGGAGCAAGTAAGTATATATGAACGAAAGTTTTCCCACTTGAAAAAAATATGTAATAGAGGAGTTCATTGATTTTTGACGCAGTTATATATATACTTACATAAGTATTTAGCTGTCTGACAAAGCTTGAGAAATTGTTGTGTTTGAAGAATCTGGGAAGTAGTGTAGATGAAAAGGAATGAGGATCCCAGACTACGAAGCTTTGACCTCCTCTGTTCCAAGAAACAACATGATCTATAGTTGAATCATCCACCATTTCATATGTCTTTGTGAGGAATGGTGGTGGACCAATGTCATGAAGCCCTTCCATTGGTTGTGGTGTCAGTGGTGGGGGCTCACCCCCACCAGCACTTGACCCCGGGAACTCCTCTTTAACAGAATACAATTGATTCATCATCAAGAAACAGGGGAAAATATATGTATTTTTAGGAAGAAAAAAGTTTGGATTTTGGAATTGGAAAGTTTCTCTTTGAGTAAGGTAGTTTATGCAGTTAAGAGGTTGAGTTATTTTAGTGAATAAATTGCTCTGAACACCATGGATAAAGAAGCTTTGGAAGTAAGTGCTAAAAGGCTATTAATAGAAAAGAAGAGTCAGCAATTCCACCTATTGAGTTGCTAAGAAATAATAATAATAAAAAAAGATAGTACTAATAAAATATTGTTTAAGTGGAACGTTCTAGACTTCTAGACATTTGGGGTGTGAGCATCTTCCTCCTATGCAATTTTTTAATAATAAGTAGTTTCGAAATTGGAAGGAAGAGAAGGTTCTTTATAAGAAAGTTCTGGAACTTAGGTATGGTTGAGGTGTGGTTTGGGCCCACAAGAGTTGCAAGTTGCTTGCAAGTTGCAAGAAGTGGTTTTTGAAACAGCAGTTTGGGGCAACTTGATTGGTGGGATTGTGACTGCCCTATTATTGATTGACATCATTAAAAAAAATGAAAACTATATACTATCAAGACAAGAAAAAAAAAACAAGAAAGGGGGTTGGTGGAAAAATATCATGCAAAAGGTGATAGAGATTATATTATTTTCATTTTGTTTATTTGGTTAAATTGTTCATAAGTTTTATTGATTTAGAAATCTTATTTTATTTACAAATTATGTTGGATGAGACATAGTTTTAATATTATCTTTATTCTACCTATATATCATGTTAAATTGTTCATAAATTTTATAAATCGATTAATATTGTTAAGAGCATGTTGTGAGAGTAGTACTTCCATTTCACATATTGTTAAGGTGTCCACAAATTTTACTAAATTAACAAATTCTGTATTTTTTGTTCAATTATTTACAAATTTTATTAAACTTTAATTATATTTTCATTCAAGGTTTGTATTTATTTCAAAAATATTAATTAAACTTGAAAGATGCCTTCAATTTGAAGAACATTATTTTTTTTTAAAAAAAATCTCTCTACGCGAGAGCTTTCATTCTCGTTGAAATGATGACAATATACAGATAGAGAAGATATTCAGACATTAATTTAGACTATCATGGTAACAACGATGCCACTGACCCCGAAGAGAAGATTGTTAATCTCTCATGGTCTGTGATAGATCGTGTTAATCGAAATCTGTTGATTACGCTAGAATTGGAGTCTTGAAAGAACTTCTAGAACACGATTTGCATTCAATAAAAGAAGAGTACAAGGTAGTATCAATACAAATCATTATGTATTGGTATATATTATTGGCAGACTCTAATTAGAAACAAGCAACACGTAAGACAAACAACAAGTAATTAAATAAGATTTTTGCACAGAGCATCAACTCACAGTAGACAAGTATAATCACCACAAAATTAACCATATCTATAATAGGTCATAGAGTCATTTAATAGCTAATGCATCATGAACTCACATTAATAAATAAGGGTATATTTGGCCTAATGGTAAAATAAGAACAACATATTACATTAATTATTGACAGATGCCATAATTGACCCGATTTCCAAAATTTAGTGGCATATATAAACTTTTTCGCGCATTATATTAATATTCCAAAGTAACCAAATTAAATTTAAACAGATTATATACCATATTACGTATTACTTTCTCTAATATATCGTATCAAAACAACCTCTAAGTTTGTTAAGTTGCACTTAGTATTATAGTGCAACAATTGATTTGTAGAAATATTCATATGTTTGCATTGACACACATCGGTTAGACCACTTTGTTCCAAATTTTAATGCAATTGAAGTTGCGATAAACACTTGTAAGTTGTATATGAAGTTTGACCTCTCCGGGCTAAAATTTACTCACTCACTTTAAAAATGAAAAAAATAGCATAGCATGACCATCCATAGTCTTTATTGACAATAAATAGCCCACTTTAAACTTTTTAGCAAAAAAAAGATTTTTTAATATTTATTTGATATTAAATAGCCACATTCTCTTTTTAAAAAAAACTGATTTATTTTCCTTATTTTCTCCCTCTATTTCCTAGGAGTTAGCACGTTTGCTTTTATTGTTTCTTTTCTCTCTCCTTGTAATTTATAAACAAAAAGAATTATGGTATTTTTCAATTTCTCTCTTTCTTCCTTTTTGTTTTCTCCCTCTTTCAAGTTTAGGATTTCTATTTTCTTCTCTAAAATATTTCCATTAAAGATCAATCACAACAGTAACTCTTCACAATAAGTAAATCAAATCATACCAATTTTTTTTATATTGATTGTTTGGGTTATTTTTTTAAAAAAAATTAAAATTTTCTACATTCTTTATCTTGTAGTTCGATGCAAGATTTTTTTTCTTTTGAAAAACTTTCGTATTTGTATTATAATTCTACAACGTTTTCTTCCCCAAAAAATGCAACGTTTCGTGATTTTTGGAATTGTTGTTTTTTCAATTTTTAATAAATAATTAATTAATATATTTATGACAATTTTTTAAAATATTGAATTTCATTGATTGTTGATAATGAATATTTATTTTGTCTCCAACAAATGTATCTAAATTTGTTAATGAATACAAACGAACACATAACAATGTAAAGTTTTCTAAATTTGTTAATGAATTTTGTTGATTTCATTCCAAAATAGAAAATAGTAATGCAAGCAACTGTATACCTATGTAAAATTGGAAAGATACTATTGCAAACAAATGTATATCAATTTATAAATGAATATAGACGAATGTATCCAAAATGTATACTTATGTAAATTTGAAAGATATTAATGAAAATAAATGTATACAAATTTATTATGCATACAAATACAAATGCAAAATTAGAAAGATATTAATGCAAACAAATGTATACTAGTTTATAAATGAATATGGATGAATGTATCCAATACAAATGTATACATATGTAAAATTTGGAAGATATTAATACAAATAAATATAAATGTATACCAATTTATTATGAATACAAACAAATGTATCCAATATGGATTGAGTTCAAAGGCAAAATAATTGTCCGGTAATGAACTCATAGGTACCTTTGAATTAAGAATAATCATAATCAAAATATTATTTGCTAATTTTAAGAAAAGATATAATTCTAAACAGTATTTTGCTAGTTTAAAGTGGAAATGATTGGAAGATAGAATAGAGATGGTATTAATTTTCTTTTATTATTTTTGAAAATACGAAATAATTTGAAAGGAGAGGAATAATCTTTTGATAGTTTTAAGGAGAAATGATTGAAAGTTAGAAGAAGGATGTAATTAGTTTTCTTTTATTGTTTTAAAAAAAAATATGTAATAATTTGAAAGGAGAGATAATTCTAAATATTCTTTTCCTAGTTTTAAGGAGTAATGGTTGGAAGTTAAAAGAGAGATGATATTAAATATCTTTTATTATTTTAAAAATATTTTTGAAAATGTATATATTACTTTTAGGCTAATATGTGCCAATTTTTTATTTGTTTATTAATTGCTAATTAATAAGATTGGGCTATATGTTGCCAATTGTATGTAACACTTGTGTATCTGTGTCAATTCCTCCAACTCTTTGGGGAAGGTAGTTTATGCAGTTAAGAAGTTGAGTTATTTTAGTGAATAAATTGCTCTGAACAGCATGGATAAAGAAGCTTTGTAAGTAAGTGCTAAAAGGCTATTAATTATTAATAGGAAAGAAGAGTCAGGAATTCCAGAGTTGCTTCGAAATAATTTTTTAAAAAAAGATAGTACTAATAAAATATTGTTTAAGTGGAAGGTTCTAGACTTCTAGACATTTGAGGTGTGAGCATCTTCCTCCTATGCAATTTTTTATTTATTATTTCCTCCGTTTCAATTTATGTATGTAGTTTAACTGAACATGAAAATTTAAAATAAAAAATTACATTTTATATGTGTAGTAGATCTAGTCATCTAACATAGATGAGATATTGATATTATTATTAAATATTTGAGAAAATGTGTTATACTTTTTAAGACGGACTGAAAAAAAAAGTGTGTTAAAACGGAGCGGAGAGAATAATATATGTAATCCAATTTTTTTAATAATAAGTAGTTTCGAAATTGGAAGGAAGAGGAGAAGGTTCTTTATGAGAAAGTTCTGGAACTTAGGTATGGTTGAGGTGTGG